GGGCAGGCAGGGAGGGCGCGAGGCTCCTGCGGCCGGGGCGGGCAGCGGGGCAGGGAGCCCCTGTCCCAGCCGGCTCCGGTCCCAGCTCCCTCCCTTCCTCCACAGTACGAAGACGCCTTCACTGCCCGGAACCTGCAGAACTGGGCCCTCCCCCGGCTCCCGAAGCAGGTAGGGCTCAGCCTGGCCCCAGCCCAGGGCAGAGGCTCCCCCCCCCAGTAACCGGTGACAGGAGAGCTACCCCAAGGGAGGGACGTGGCAACAAGGCGGCACAAAGAAGCTGGGGAGCGGAGACCGGCCTCCAGCTCCGCTGGGGACGGCTCCGCAGTTGCAGTCGGGGCCCTGCGTGCCCGGGTCACACGGAGCCCGGCTCCTCAAAGATGCCGCTCCTGCCCCCAGCGTGCGGCAGCCCAGCGCCGAGGGTCCCTCTGCCCGCGCCTCTCGCTGCACACAGGTGGGTTAAAGCAGCGCCCGCTCTGTTTGCCTTCTGCCCTCAGCACCCCGGTGCACGGGAAGGCCACACGCAGTTTATAACCGATGACAGAGGGCACCTGCTCCCCACCGTGCCACGCTCCAAGGTGAGGCGTCTGGGCGGCTGCTTCTTGCTTAACTAGTTTTCAGTTTGGGGCTGGGAGCCACAGGAAGCAGGTGAGTAACCAAGCGCTCCCTTTGCTGGGGCTCGTCCTCATGGCATCCAGGCTGGGCCCAGCCTGTGCGGTCCGAGGGGAGCTCTGCAGGGCAGCGGTGCCCGAGCCAGGCTGATCTGGGGGTGCACAGCCTCCCAGTGTCCAGCTCCTAATTCCAGTTAAATAAGCTAAAAGTCCAGGCCGTCCCTCCCTGCTGCCTGCAGTGCTCTGTGCTCGCAGTCCAAGGGGACATGCATGTGACAGGGGTGCTACTTCTTGGCCCTCTGCTCTCCTGTGCAGGGAAGGTGGTCCCTAACCCTGAGCTGGGGTGCACCTGGCTTCATGCAGCACCCTCCCTCCCTCAGGCATTGTATCTGCCACACGGGGCCCTCTCCTCAGGTGGGCAAGATCCCACACCACAGCCCCTTTGGAGGGTGGACCCAGCAGCCTCCCCTCTCAGTTGTCCCAAGGATGGTGTTCAGAGCCAGAGGCAGAGCTGAGACTTGGGCTGTTCCTGTCCCTCTGTGATCTCACTGGCTGGATGTCCCCAGGGAGGGTGCAGGAAGCTCTCACACAGCTCTCACTGCTGGTCCCAGGGCAGATGGGGCTGATCTGGCTAGAAAGGAAGCCCCGGGGCTCTGCTGCCAGAGGCCTCACTCTCTGCTTCCCCCCACAGGCTTCCCCCTGGGGCACGTTTATGGGAACCTGGGATATGCCTCTGAAGATTCCCCCAGTCAAACTGAACCTGACCTCTCGCTCGGTGGCTGCAGCCTCACGTCTCACTGACTGGGTGTACAAGTCCAAGGCACTGACTAGTGCCTGCAACGGCCTCCTCCCAGAGATCACTGGCAAGGTAGGGCACCCCCTTCCACAGGGACTGGCTGCTGCTGGCTGGGTCTTTACCCAAGAAGCTTCTCAGGCTGAGGCTGGACAACTGAAGAGCAGAGAGGCCACAACCTGGCATTGAGTCTTCCCCTGTAAAGCATAATCTTCATGGGTGCCTGCCCTGGCTGAACTTGGGGCACCCAGGTCCCCAAGCTGTTAGAGCAGCACATGTACAGTCCCAGGGCCTTCATGCAGGCCTTTTCCAGTCCCAGTCAAGTGCTACCCAGCTCCACTGGTCTGGGCCCGCTGGGCACAGAGAGGACACTTGGCTTTGAAAGGCCAAGTGCTGGTTTGCCAAGATGGGAAGGCTGCTCCTCTCCTCCCTAGGAGAGTTAGAAGCAAATTCCTGCTACAGCTTCACCCTGTAGCAAGAGCCAAACTTTGCACATAGCGCTGCAGCACGGCTCTGTTCCCATCCCACTTTGGTAACCAATGGCCTCACTGCTGGGAAGTGCCAGCCTTCACCCTCCCCACCCCAACACCTCCCTCCTCCCCGTTCATCAGGTGCTGGGCTTGCTTCCCACTGTGGTGCCCAGGCAATTCTGTGCAGCCACAGCACAGAGTGCTTCTGTGACGGCTTGGCGCCATCCATGCAGTGCCAAGGCGAGACCAGCCAGGGGCACTCACAAGCTACAGCTCCTCACTGTAGCAAGCCATGCAGTGCTAGTGTGGGAGCTGTCCAGAAAGGAGCCGAGTTTGCTCAAGACCCTGGAGCAGCCTTAAACTCTGGAAGGGCCCCAGAGGGCCTGGGTCCTGGTCCCAGCCCCAGCCCACAGAGTCAAGTGCCAGCTCTTTGCTTAGCTGGAAAACTAACTCTTGCCCTGTAGCCCATGCTCTGCCCAGGGTGGTTCTGTCTGCTCCCATCACTGTCCCAAGAAACATATGTGATACTAGCATCAGTGCTGCAGTTAACCTCATAGAAAAGGACTCATCACCCCTCCCCTTTAACAGAGGCCCCAATGAATCAGTCTGCTCCCCAGTCAGAGGGGAGGCACTGGGGCCCCGTGACCCACCACAGGAAAAGTAAGGCATGCCAGGTGTACTAGCCGACACTCCAAGTGGGAGGGAGACAAATCAGGCCTGGCTTCCACCAGGGACTAGAAGCTCTTCTTGAACCCCAGAGGCCAGACAGCCCATTTCTCCAGGGTTAACTTTGCAGTACTGATGCTGATCTCTCTGATGCTGCATAAGACAATGAGGGGACCAGACAAACCAGCCCTGGGCAGCACTTAAGCTGAAGCATCTTGTCCTCAAGATGCACCCGTTGCAACAACCCAGTGGAGCAGCATTAGTGCACGGATGGGGCTACTCATCACCCAACCCAGGAAGAGATAGGTGCTCCAGGACAGCAGTCTGGCAGGGGAAGAGCTGGACAATGAGCCAGCCTTTCCACAGTGGGTCTCAAGTGTGAATCTGAAGGGACTGTACAGCAGCATTCCTGTACCATCTCTGCCATTCACATCTCTCAACCAGCCAGTCAGGTCCCATTCACCCAGTGTAGCCACAGGGCCAAGGTTAAACCTGTCGCAACGTGTGTGTCTCTCTCAGCCCCAAGAACTGGAATCACACCAGGAAGCAGCAAAGGAGACTTCCGATAAGAACAGTCGAGCATCTAACAGAGACCTCCAGCTCCACAGACCCTCAGCTAAAATGCCCCCTGAGGAAGAGGAAGATTGTTACAAAGGAGCCACTACACCCAAGATCCCTCTGTCACGCCAACCTGGCTCCATGGATGTGCGACTCTCGGGAGCTACCTCTCCAGCGGTACCAGTCTCGCACCAGCCTGGCTCAAAAGAGGCAAAGCACAGAGGAGCCTTGCAACCCAAGGTCCCATTGTCACGCCAGCCTGGCTGCATGGATGTGCGACTCAAAGAGGCCATCACACCCAAAGTCCAGGCTTCAGGCCGAACCACATCCAGGGAAACAAATCCCCGGCGCACCATCTCAGCAGAGGTCTCAGCTCCAAGCCGACCTGGCTCAATGGAAGCTAGACCCAAGGGAGTTAGCTCACCTAACCTCATGGCTTCATCTCGGCCGGGATCAATGGAGGCCAACTTCAGAGGAGCAACATCACCCGATGCCTTGGCATTAGGCCGCCCAGGTTCAAAGGCCAGCCGCACCTCCGAGACATGGATGAGGATGTTGGAGGGAGGCAGAGAGGAACAGGAGCATGTCACTCAAGAGGGAAGAGTCAGCAAGACCCAAATCTTGCTCTGAAGATTTGGGCAAGCAGTCATCTAAAGGCCAGAGTAAAAGCTATTGCCGACACATGAATGATAACTGAAAGAGGTCAAACCTCACCTCACTCTGCATCTCCAGCTGTTCCCACCCTTTTGCTTCCTGCAACTCTAATCACCTCCAACCCCAGCCTCCTTTCTCTTTCCTGTTTTCCAGGCAATCAGTTTAATCCCTCTAGCTTTTCCCCTTGCATGTGCTAGTTTCTTTGCATGTAAGAGCTGCCACCTGCAGCAGAGTGAGCTGAACCAAACAGGCAGTGAAACGATCAATTTTCAAGCCACTGACCCAATGCTGCTGTCTGGGATGGAGGCAGGGGACATCCCCCATTCACCTGAGCTTGTCAACACAACCAGTCAAAACAGAAACCCAGATGGCAAGAGGGGGCCACTGATTCTGAAAGAGCCCGAATAACCCTGATGATTGGATGGTACTATGTGGTTGAAACATGCGCTTTCCCAGTAATCAATATAAAAATAAAACTAAAACACAAAAAACGAACTCAGTTTTTGTTTCACACAAGTAACATCCAAGGCAAGGCAAGGCCTGTGCTGACAGCTTCCACAGAGCCCTGGCAGTGCAATGGAAATGCAGCAAACACCGTCAGCCACTTGATGCAGTGGTGCCCACCCACAATCACCCATGGCATGCAGCCTCCTGCTCTCACACTACACCTTCCAGAGGGAGGCTGAAATCTTTTCCAGCTGATAAAGTGCTGGGGCTGAGACTGATATTTTGGCTCTGGCTGAGGCAAGAGGCCTGGCATCCCCCAGCAGAGAGTGCTTGAGTTCACCTAGACCCATATTCACTGCCAAAGCTTCAAGTGCCCCGATTTGGCTCCAGCAGAGCAGAGGCAGGGCCCATTCCTGGGGAAGACTTGCCCTGGGCTCTAGGCTGGCTTGTTTATTAGCGTCAGTTCACTTCGTAGGGAAATCCCTGGTTAAACAGGCAGAAGGGAATGCAACAGGGCCCAGTTGCAACCTGCACTCCTCAGCCAGTGACCACAATCTCCCTTGGGATGAAGTCTACCATTCGCCCCAACAATGTCCAGGGAAGGCTGCCCTGTGGGCCAGCATTTGGCTCCCACATGTTCTGGCCTGCTGTGACCTACCCCCATTGCTAGTCCCAGTGTAGAACAGATGGGGAGAACAATGGGCAAGGTGAGACAGAACTGGCTTTTCCTGGGTGCACCTGACAGCCCTCACATCCAATAGAAACCCCTTCCCCTGCAATTCAAACCCTATCAGTCACCCTGAAAAACCTAGGGAAAAAAAAAAAGTCAACCAGAGGCATCCACCTGTGGATTAGCCACTGTCCAACACTGGAACACAGGCCCCAGCCAGCCTGTTAGAAGGCAGGTTGCAAAAGGCATGTAAAGGCAAAGCACACAAGGGGTGCAGCGGGACTGCTGCAGTGGCAGAGCACTTGCAAGGCTGCTGGCTGCCCTCCCACTTCTACCCCAATACCAGTGGCTCTAGAAAGCTCTTTGTCTGAGGAGAGTGCTGAGAAGATGCTTTCCCACCTCCCCATCTTTGCTAGAGCCTGGACTGCCCAACCTGCAATCAATTGCAAACAGTAGATAGGCTGCTGAATGCAGATGGAATTTATTTCAAGAGCTGCTGTAAAGTCCAGCCTCACAAGGAGCTGGCACATGCCAAGGAATAACTAATTAAAAACCCAGAGGAGCCCAATTAAGTCATTCACTGACTGCATATAATTAGTGGAGTGGCTCAAGTGCATCAGCCTCCACTCTGAGGGAGGTCTCTCCCTCTGCCGAACCCAGCAGAGGATAGCTATATTTAGAGGGAGGGATAAAGCCTGTGCCTCTCTCACAGGAGGCCTTGCAGGCTGGGTTTCTTCCCACGTGGTAGTTTTCTTTTTCACAATAAAGCTTTCAAGCCCCGTCTGAGCTGGACTCCTTTATGGGGCCTGAAGTAGCAATCGCATTTTTATTACTGTAAGAACAAGTGGAAGGTGGATACTTGGGATGGGCAAGGTTTTAACTGGCCTGTTCTGCACCACTGTTTGCCTCTGCAAACACCTCAATTCAGGGATACAGGAAAGCTTTGCCAAAAGCCTCCACTCCTCTTTGATGTAATTAGGGCTTTGAGCTTACCTAGCAGACATCTCCAAGAGCTCCCCAGTGGGCTGGCAGATGTCTCCATCAAACCAGGGTAATCAGACATGACATTCCTAATACTTCTCCAAGCTACGCTCTGAACACCCGTCTCCCTCCCCCTCTAGACACTCAGTCAAGTACAGACAGATGAAGCACCCACACAAGCTTTCACAGCCCTTCTCAGGTGACCTTTAAGCTGGGGCTCTTCTTGAATCTGCATTTACCGCTGGTACAAGATCCCTCCCCCATGTCATGGCTTTGCTCTGCATGGTCATGATGGGCAAAAGCAAGCTAGGAGCTAAAGGGTAAGGCTGGAAGCAAAGGCACTGCTGTCTTCAGAGGCCAGATTGGGCTGAGAGGATGGTAGCTGTTTTCCTGCCTCCTCAAGGGCAGACATCTGTTCCCCACTACACCTACACTTCACTCCCCCTTTACTCTGTCGCCCCTGCTACTAAGAGCCTGAGCTCTAGTACAGAACTGCCACAAGTGTCTTCCCACTGTGTCATCAGGATCTGCCCCTAGTACACCTGCAGCCAGTCCACATGGGGAGATTTCCATCAGACAGTCAGCAGAGTCAAAGCCCACTTAAAGCTGGACACTGAAGCGCACATGCTGAGGCACAGCCAAATGAGGGGAAGGGGAGGTGTTCCTGCTGCAGCCGGTCCCAAAACTGCTTGAGAGAGAAAAATTCTGATTCCAGTCCAGTTCAGCCAGTAGACAGGAGAGTCACGAGAGCCGCCCTGTATGATGCGCAGAGAAGAGACAGGGCCCTAAACAGATGGGCCTTTCTGCAGGGCAGAACTGAACTTCCAGATGTAAAGAAAAATAGAACTAAGCAGTGATACACAGCAGCCTGGGCAGCAAACTCAATCTCCTGGCACCCCATGCAGCCCCTGCACCAGTTCCAGTGAGGTACAGAGGTGTCGCATACCAACATGCTGAGCTGGGAGCATTTTGGTTCAGTGCGACTGAGGTGAAGGGCAGGCCAGCCAAGTGTAGGGCACTACCCAGCTACAACCTGAAGGGAGATGGGCCACAAAATAGCATAGACAGCCCCACTACCCATGTTACACTATACACCCCTGCTCTGCTTTTCTAAAGAGATTTTTTTGGGTCATGACTTTCTCCAACCGCACACCGGTTTTTACTCAGGATGCATTCCTCCCACGTCCTGCCAGTCAGAATGCTGCTGTCCTGAGAAACTGCTCATTTGAAAAGAAAACTCAGAGGCTGATATGTGGTGTGAAAGATCAAAGCTGCTTTACTGGAAAGGGTGGGTATGTTACACATGACACGTGTGTGCTAAGGAACAGCTGGTGACAGCACACAGCAGCATTGCAAGAGGATAGTGCATTGGCAGTCACCACAAAGGAGTGAAGAGAAACACAACAGTTTTGCCTAAAGAAGTCCCTGAAAACACAAGGTGGATTTTTCTTTGTTAGCTGAAGAGTGGGATACACCGAACAGAGCTGAGAATTCACTGCTCCCAGCCCCGTTACGTAAAGCCCCGCTGCAAGTCTCCCACCACCCCGCAGGGGCTGCCCCTCCCCACTCCCCAAGGCAAAGCCCACAGGATGCTGACTGCAGCAGAAAGCCCAGATCCCAACACTTGGCATTTTCTCCAGGACGGCATCAATTCCTTATTCCCCTCCCTAGCATCAGGGCACTGGCACTGGTAGCTCAGGCAACACTCACTCCCCCAGAACTAGTGTCAGCAGCCACGGGACAGTTGTCCTTTACATAAGCCTACACACATACACTAGGCTACAGGCACTCGCATCTCCTCCCCCAAGGCCTCCCAGGCCAGGCAGGGGACACAGTACCAGCACTGTCTCCAGATTCTCGACAGTGCAGGAAACAACTGAAGAGACAGTTAGAAAGCAAAGCCCCATCAAAGAAGGCAGCTCCCAAGAGTGTCTTCAAAGTAGCTAAGGATCAACTGCTAATAGATACCAGGGGCCGGCCATTTGTGGCTATTCAAAACACACAATATTGGGACTGGACGGACATTCTGGGATTTCACTGAATTTGGCTGATTGGACACATTACATCCTTCTGGGCCAGCAATTAAGCAAACTGATCATCCACAAGATTTATGCCTAGGGGACAGCCCCACCCTGCCCAGCAATATACAACTGATGAGTCTCTTGCGCCTTCTGCCCACATGCACACCCTGAGCTGGGCTTGGACTGGACTGTCCACATGGGCCATGATGAACCAAATCATTTCTGGAGTGGGGAGGGCTTCAGCCAGGAGACACCATCACATGGCTGCAAGTCCAGCAGAGGAAAGCAGGGTCAGGGCCAGGACCAGGACTCCAGACTGATAGACCTGCAGCATCTTAAATCCTTTCCCCATGTCCCACACCTAGAGAGAAAGAACAGAGAGAGAGACTCAGCACATAACCAGGGCTCTCCACTAGAGTACATTAAAAAAAAAAATGGCAGTCCATCTCCAGGTAGACTAGGCCTCTAGAACAAGGGGGAAGCGGGGAGAGAGGAAGGGAGCACTAGAAAGGGGGCTAGGACAGGCCCAGACATGAGATCTCATAGATCAGGGAAGGAGAGAACAGTTCCTGAACATGAAGCTGGAGACTGCTCTTGGATTTAGCACATGATTACCAATTTGAGGGAGAGCAGACAGCTGCCCAAAAGGTAAGGAAGGGGCCGTGGAACTGTAACAAGGGCTGCACAACTCAGAGAGGGTGGTGCAGTCTGCTAACTGTGGCTTTGAGAGTCCCAGCACACAGACAGGCTGAAGTGCTAGAGGGATTATGCTGCAGGGCAACAGCCAAGATGACCCAAAGGAAATTAGAGCTAGACAAGAACTTCAATAATGCTTCACAGAGTAAGCTGGAAGGATTTGTTCATATCGTCACACACATGGCAAGCCCTTCCCATGAGGCTTCTGATGGATGTGTTACTGTACACAGCCACAGCAGCAGAGAGTGAAGCAGCATGGACTGGAGCTTGGGGACCTGGGGGTGCTCCTGGCTCTGCCTCTTGAGTTTAACAAGGCCTCTTGAAGTCCTCACTGCCCTTATTTTTTATAATTCTGCATGCTTAAATCCATGGCAAATTTAGGGCTTAAATTCTCACAAGGGGAATACAGGAGGTCACAGCAGAAAGCACCACGCCAGAAAGAGGCAACGTGGCTGTACTGAGCTCACACTAAACAATGGAAGGCAACATTATTTTGGAAGCTCTCTGATCAGAACAGGATAACAATATCACAATCTTGGGGTTTCAAGGAAGGGCTAACGCTTCCAGAAGTGTCTGAATAACTTAAATCAGGTTTGAATATGGAACACAGGCACCTGAATGACTTGGAACTCTAGTTTCCATTTTCAAATGCGACTTTGGTGACTTAAGTACATGTGACAGGTGTTACCCAGATGACCCAACCACAATTCCCCATGGCAACAGACAAATTCTCATGTGTGCATGCACACCCCCCACCATCCAAGTGAAGGCTACTCACAAGATGTCGAATTCCATTCCAGGTGTGGTAGCTAAGGGGGAAAGCCAAAGCAAACTTAGCAGAGTAGATGAGAACAGGTCCCAGGCTGAGTGACTTCACCAGTTCCAAGTAATAAGGAAATTGTTCTGGAAGGACCAGGGCAGCCAGGCTAAAACAAGAGATCCCTAAGAAAGAAAAAGCACACAGGTCAAGCTCAGCTACTATCAGTAGCTTACTTCCCTAAAAGCAAGCCCATGCTGCAAGACAGCTCCTCATCTGAAATCTTAATCCCACAGACTGAGAAGTCAACATTAGCTCCCAGTAAAATAAAAAGTAGCTAGCCATGTTAATCTGAAGTCAGTCAGAAGGCAATGTATGCACCTTTGTAGAATCACCACCTCATCCTGCACCTCTTCCTGTATCCCCATACCAGCAAGGTCAGCACAACTCTGCCACGACACAGCTTTTTATTTTTCCTGCAATTCTGGCAAGAAGGAAAACCTGGGGAAATGACCAACTTCTCCTGCACTAGCTGCTGGGTGCACAGTCTGCCCCGGGAGGGCAGGCTAATACATAGCATAAAGAACAGCTCTAGCCAAAATATCAGCTTGCCTCAGGAAGCCAATGGTGCGAGCAAATAGGGTGCAAGATAGAGGGTCACTTTCACACTAATTCAGCGAGGTCCCAGCTAAGTCAACGAGACTGCTCATGTGCTTAGTTAGGTGCACTCCCAAGTGCCTGGCTATATGCCTTGACTATGCAAGCACATACTGAGTAATAATGTTCAGATGAGTTCTCATATAAACATTCATGTGAGTGAAGTGATATGTACTGAAGCACTTGTACAAATCAGGGTTGAAAGGACACGAGCAGGCAAAAATGTAAGACAGAAGCTCCTCAAAAGTCCTCTAGAGTCTAAAGTTTCACTACAAAAAAGCTGCTAGCTACTTGCTAACAAAATAGCCAATTTAGCAAGATCTGGGCCCTGTGGCTAAGTGCCGCATGCAAAGCTGCGCTGACATCAATGAAGAGGCCGATACACAAAGAGACAGGCTGACGCAAGTGGCTGTGCTAGCTGGAGAAGCTGCAAAGGCTCCTCTGTTATTTCTAGCCAAAAGGTTTTCTGCAGATGGTGCTGCCAAAACAAATGGAACGATCAAACACAGCAAAGCCAATTAACCCTCTTTCCAATGGAGCCCAAATGCATTGCTCCCGCACGCTGCCTTGAGGAGCTGAAGCCGGTTCCATCCAACTAGGTGCTGCTCAGCTCAGCCATTCGTGGCTTCAATGGTCTTCAGCGGCATGTATGAAAGCCCAGGGAGTCAAGGGGCTTGCTGGCCTGGCTCAAGAACAGGGTAGTTCCCTCCTCAGTTCCATCCTGCTGAGTGGAGATCTGTCAGGTGAGAGACTGCCAGGAAGAGGAGGAAGTCATTTGGAGTGCCTAGACATGTGTGGAATGCCTGCTCCAATGCATTCCAATTCTAATTAATGGAGTCTGCTGGAGTGCTCCAGTTAGAATGCTCCACCAGCCTTGCTGTCGCACCTATTCAGAGACTGCAGGTTTTAAAATGGTGGCGGGGCATTTTAACTGAAGTTCGTTAAATGAGCTTTAGCTAAAGCGCCCCCATTGCTGTTCTGAAGCGCAGGGTGCTGAATAGATGGAATCATAGAAAGTTAAGGTTGGAAGGGATTTCAGGAGGTCATCTAGTCCAACCTGCTGCTCAAAGCAGGACCAGCCCCCCTCCCCTCCCCCCCCAAAAAACCAAACAAACCATGAGACGCTGAAGGCATTTTAATTACAGCGCTGCCAAGAGCTGCTCTAATTACAACACTCCCACCCCGGAGCATGTGTATAGGTACCCTTGGATTCTAAGGACCTCAGGAGGAACCGTTTTTTGTTCCAACTGCAAAGATCAATACAGTTCATGTTTCCAAGGGACAATACATCTCCATTTATGGGCAATGGCAGCTCTGCAAGCCTGAACAGCAGGTTACACAGCTTGCTGGCTAAGGACACAGACCCCAGCAAGGAAGGGCAGGCATTTCCTAACCCTGAAGGGGTACTGTGCTTTCATAGCTACAGCTCTAAGCTGGAGATGGCAAAGACAGGACTGCAAAGCCTAGACCACAGTAACATGCAGCCTGCTGCCTGGCACAGGGGCTTCTAGCAGACAGTTTATTTATGGTGCGATTAACGTGCAATAAAACAGCAAACCAGCCACAAAGATG